GAATTCGATGTCTCTAGATATTAACAGTAATATAGTTTTCTTTTTTTTTCCGTCGATATTTTATCTCATTTTACCGAATTTAATTTTTTTAGATTTATTCATCACTCTTTCTCGTTCACTTTTAAGAGATCTATTAGTGCAGAGGTTACACTGTTATTATCTTTTAAAAGAAAGTGATTTGAAATTGTTAGAACGGCAAGAATGAATATTTTTCATTTTCTCTGCTGTGACTTAATTTTATAATGATAAATAATTTTAAAAAAAAAACTCTACGTATTGCTTTTAAAACTGACTTTTTCAAAATCTACTCGACAAATGCTCCTATCGATTTTTTTATGGTTTCATTTAGCTCAAATATATTTATATTGACATTTTACCCGTTAAAAACTCGACAATTTCAATAACAATATTTTTTTATTGTGCATAATATTCAGACACGTTTTAGGACTTAAACAAACGGATGTACAGTGAATGGTCTCAAAAATAGGAGGATGCATTGAAAAAAAAAGACTAATTCAAAACGTATGTAAATACCTATTTTGTAATAAGGCGCGAGTTATTAATAGAATTTTTTATATCAGAGCATGCGATACTTGTGCGGATTATGAGTCACCTATGAAGTTTGGGATTCTGTATTTTACGGCTTAAAAACTTTTCACTTCAGATTCTTATTTTAACGGTAGTCAACACTATTTTCGATAGCCAATATACTTCTGCACCCATATGGATTATGTAATTATCCTCTGTGAAGTTTCAAATTTATGGGTTTTGTCTGCTTCGAGATTTTTTTATATTACATCGGAACAGATAAGTTATATATGTATTTTTTTTTTTTTTTTTTTTGTTTTGTTTTGTTGTATACAAAGATCACAATTTATAACTTTTAATGTCTCAAAATTAAAAAGTTTCATATCTGGATGGAGAGAAATGAGTGAATTATGTAAACAATTTTTATGCCTACAGTTTTTTTCAGCTGTATAAGTCTAGCATTACTGGGTTAAGCTTACATTTTTAACAAGCAGTCAGTCCTTTTGTGCATTGAAACCTCAAACTTGTTACGTAAGTAGATATACAAGCTTCTTGATTGTTTATGTTTCAAATTCAGTTATATTTAATACTTTATTTATTATTTTATATTTTCTCTTTCATTATCAACTCATTAAATGAAAGGAATTAGAATGAAAAAAATTGCTAATTCGGCGGTTATTATTTTTGTTAGTAAAACAGAAATAATGTTTAAGTATTAATTGCCATTATTTTTGGAAGAACATGCTTATATTGATCGTGATTCTTTATGCAATCATCATGCAGAGTTGAAAATACAAATTAATAAATATGTAGTTAAATTATTTCATTTATTTCATTTGTCATCGATGTTTTTACTGAGCTATTAAAAAATTTCACTGTACGTACGTGGTTAACATAATACTTCTTATGTTCAACGCTGATGCAGACAGATGCAGCGTGCTGACGATTTATAAACATTCCTGCTTTGTACGTTTTGAAACTTTCGTTTAGCATCGACATCACGTTCTCTCAGTCTTTCCGTATCAAAGGTCTCGTTTGTCGCTTCATAAATTATTTTTGCTAATTCCACCCGCGTATTGGGGTGACGGAGAATTCGCGTCGCTTTTCTACTCTTTGTTAGAGAGGCAAACGAAGTATTGGGAATGCAGCGCGACACGGCTGCTTTACTTTTGTTAGTTGAGCTCTTCTCGCTAATGCTTCCGACCAAAATCGCTAAAATTTTGTATCTAATTAGGAAATTCCCCCTTCTTAATAAAATGTGAAGTATCAGACATCCACGCAAAACGGAGGTAAAAGATTAAACTCAGCAACTAGTCAGTTTCGACTAAAATTTTTAACTCGAGTAGCTCTGAGTATATTTATGTCGTCGTTTCGTCATTTTTTAAATTTCAATTAATAATTGCATTTCTATTCGTTACCTGTAATACGTAGAAATAAAGTGAAATAGAATTTCCTCCAAAGAGTCAGACTTTTGATACTTCTTACATATAATTATTTTTTACAAAGAAACAGAAATATTAAATGAAAGATTTGCTAAAATATTTGTTCGGATTTAGCTAATTAATTGCACACGAACGAGTACCCTGCCCACGACGATGCTTTCTTCATTAATTTTTCGAAATAGGCCAGGTGGTTCTACACACCGGTCCGTCTAATGTGGAAGCTAGACGTCTTGTGCAAATGGTCTGGTTTGAAATTTTTGATGTCAGTATCCATGAAAATCAACGTTTTGATAATTTTTTTTTTCTGAGTTGGGGGAGGAGATATTGTTGTTGTTGTGTATTCACTATAAAATTTTTGCCTCTTGTCTTTCATTTTGAATATCGATTTGATTGTCTCTGACATTGCGTAGGCTCAGCTTATAGGTAAACCATCAGATGTGAAATTTCTTCCCTTCTTTTTATAATTAAATCAAGATATTTTAAATATGTTTTAATTTAGATGTAGCGGAATCTTACTATACAATAGATGACACTTACAGTCGAAAGCTAACTGAAAATAAAACCGTGCAAGCTACTAAACTAAACTAAACTCAGTGGCGCAACAGCCCTAGTGGGCCAATGCCTGCAGTGCCCCGAAAATCTGCTTTCTTGACCGTGGGCCCCGGGGTGCGTAAGCATATGCCCTGAACTAGTGGTCGGCTTGTCGCAGGACCCCCCAGTGTTTAGTCCCCAAGAGAACTTGGTACTCATTTTATCAACCCAAAGGATGGAAATCAAGGGATGAAAGGCTGAGTCGACCTTGCCCAGACCGGGGATCGAATCCCGGACTTGTGGTGATGCTGCGCGATGCGTTAGCCACTGCGCGATGCGTTAGCCACCGGGCCTAATGAGAATAGAGAGAATGCTAAAAACTGTGTGAGAGTATGCATTTAAAGTAATTTTAAAGGATATATGGAGGTACCAAAACAAAAGAGAAAAGTCCAAATCTTTCTGACCTTAATCCCCTGCCAATCTAGTTCTAGCTAGGCATAATGTGACAGGCAAAAAATATTTTCCCCGAAACGGGAGTGTTAACTAAGAACAAGGGAAAATTTTCGTCCCCCACCCGTATTCGGTTGCACCGTTCCAAAAAGTCTTTTTCTCCAAGAAGACACTAAAATTGGTGAGAAAAATTTTCCTGCTGTAAGAAATTCATTGCAGTTTTGGGAGAATAACTTTAACTTGATTGTGTGTGTGTGGGGGGGGGAACTTTTCTTTTCTTAAAAATCTCAACCTCTTTTCAAGGTTTTATTTCCTAGAGAGACAAAGGCATCCATTCAGAAATTTGAATCGATTCTTTAATTTAATTTTATTATTAAAATAAAATTTTCGAAATTAAAAGAATTTTCTGCTGAAATTTTGATTCAGTTACATAAAAGAAGGGGAGAAGCCCTCTTATGTAGGGCTGCGTTGCGCTCCAGTTAGAATTATGAGTTATCTCAAAAATTAAAGAAACGCTGGAGCCAGATTCCGGTGGGCTGATTCATGAATGAAATAACCTCAAATAAGAATAGTTACTACTTTAAAACATTGCAGAGATTTTATTACAATATGTAATCAAATATGATCTGATTACTAGTTGTCATACTGGTATACTGGACGTTGAACAGAACGAATGAAGATGATTTGAATTCATCATTTACGGAAATAAATACTGATGAGACATCAGCTAAAGTATTTTAAATCTGAAAGTAAAAAACATAGTATCCTTTATAAAACCGACATCAAGGCTTAACGAGCATTTTTTAATTTCTAGAACATAGAACCCATTGAAAACTATTGAAAATGGAATGAAAGTTTGTATTCCGAGGAAATATTTTAATAAAACTGTCAAAGCTTACTGTCAGTAAGTTATAACAAAAACAGTATTATTTTTTTATATAATTGAAAAGTAAATGTAAAATAATATTCTTAGTTTCCAAGTAGTTTATTTTTCTGCTCTTCCTCCCGTTTTTATTTATTTATTTATTATTATTATTATTGCTTTATTTTTATTTATTTATTTAAAAGATTTAGAGCTTTTTAAGAATTTCTTAAAGATAATCTCGTATTTTGAGAAATAAATTAATTGCCAGATTTAGGAAATTTTTCCGAATCTGAAGAAAGCAAATGGTTTAAGAACACTCGGTCACTTGTTCTAGACTCATTAAATCAATTTGCACATACGATTAAAAAGACGAAATGTAACATAATGATCATCTTTGAAATTTTATTGATAATTTACTTGCCTAAAATAATAGTGAAAATTGCGTATTTCATATTTTTTGGATTGCCTGTTAAAACTGTAGGTTGTATAATGTTATTAATCAAAATGTATAATAATGTAAAAATCTTAATGATTTTCGTAAAAATATCCCCCACCATTAATGTTTCACTATTTTATTTCAATTTCATGATACTTTATGCTAAACTGCTTCAGTTTAGATTGTTTTCATGAATGAATTTGTTTCGTTTAATCATAGTTTACCGATATTTGCTCTCTATACTCTTTTTCTGCTTATTTTTACATTTTCTATTGCAGTTTTCTAAATAACATTTACTGTGAATGTAAAATTTTGTAGGATGTATTTTATTCTTGACATATTTATAATTTTATAAAATATTTTTTTCTAACATAATTTATTATCTGTCTCCTAAATTTTTGTTCAAAATGTTGTATTTTTCATTCACAAAGTCCTCTCTATTAAAATGCTTCAAGTATTTGCCATTTAATCCTTGCTTAAATTTTCTCTTCACTTTGAGTAGAAATTTAAATGGAATGTTTAAATTTCTGCTTAGTGTCCTTTCAGGGGTTTAAATGTGTCATTTCAGCTTTCCTGCTGAACTTCTAAATGCAACATCTGTTTCTTTCCTCGCGTGTCCCCGCTCTTCCAGCTGGTTCTCTTTCAACCTTTACCCCTCTCTCCGCAAATGAAAGCGTCCATCCAACATGGCTGACCCAAGCGCGTAGCGTAGAGTAGTAAACGTGACATTTTGTTTTTTCCGTTGCAGACGAAGTGCGACCTCCTCACGCATGGTGCTCTCGACCAGCAGAAAAAGAAAGGGGCCAAAAAAACGGGTAAGTTCAACCCCTTTCAATTTTTATTATTTATGCCTCATTTGCATAGTGCGTGTTTATTTTTGTCTGACCGCACACAATGTTGCTTTTTTTTACACGCTTAAAAAAAAAAAAAAAAAAACTAAACGATTATATTTTTAGAAAGTAGTCAAATTATGGCTTCAATTTCTTTTAGCGCCTCTTTATTTTTAATGTTTATTCGATTTTTATAAGTCTTTTTATTATTATTGAGTTGGTAAAATTTAAACCAAGCCACTGTATCTACAGCTTAATTTCTTTAAAAAATTCTTATCAATGAGATCAAAGGTTGAATAAGGTAATTTGTTTCCTTCGAGAATATTATATTATTCCTAAGAATAAATAAAATCTCATTTCCTGCACCAAGCTGGTTTTGAAGCAAATATTAGAACTCTGGTACTTTAAAAAAAAATAGTATATTGAACATATTTCTAATTTACAAAGATAAAGATTCTGAGGGTTTGCTCTAAACTTATACCTACAATAAATTATTCAAAATTCATCGTACATAAATATTTGAAATTTCTAATGCTTGAATTCAAGCGATTTTTTTAATTGCTTCGTATGATTCTTTAAAAAAAAATTTAAATTGTAAATATTGGTAATTATAATATTGGTTTTCTTTGCACTTGCTTATTAATTTTGGTTAAATTGCGAAGTCTAAACTAATTTACAAATGCTTCTTATATCATATTTGATATATTTATTTATATTTTAACTAATTTACTCCATACGTTTCGTTCGGCAAACTGCAATAGTAATGTATTCCGTTAAATTACATAATCTTAAAAAAATTAAATGGTTAATAATAAAAAATTTTATGAACTTCCTAAAATATTTTATGATTACATACATTTTAAATTTAACTTTTTCCTTAATCAGTTAGTTGAGTGCGAAAAAGCTGCATGTGTTAATAAAATGAAGTTTTTAAGTCTGTGGGTAAAAAATACATAGAATGGCGAAAAGAAAAGTAAAAATGAGATTTCGAATAAATTTTCGTAATAATTCTTTTATTTGACTTCGTAAAATGTTAAAATTGCTCTAAATATTATATCAGACATAACATTTTTATTTCCGAAAGTTTATTTGTGCAACTGTGTTAAAGACAAATTTTTCTAGTTATATGTCAAGCTACTGTTTTTGCCAGTACGAATTAAGCTTGCGTTTAACAGATATAAAATTACAGGTTTGCTAGTTACAGTTAATCAAAATATATGTTTTTTGTATTTTCATTTGTTTATAATTTCGAATTTTTAATTAGCAGTTATAATTTTTCATGAAAGAATGGTTTGTTGCATTTCTCTCCCCTTATTTTGCCTTATTTATGATTTATTCCTTGCCGAATGCTTGAACTCAAAATTGCTCTGTTGGTGTAATACTGAGTTTGATCTATGAATGCGATTTCTTAGGAGTGAGACCGCCAGATTCCACTAAAGAGTTTATGTACCAGGAAATCCACTTTTTAACAGGTCTAGGCAACTGAATGGCAACACAGCCAAAAAACATAAAACAATGCAGGCTGTTCTCCAGAAAACTGTTTATTTTACAGTTAATAAAATATTTAAATCCGTAAACAAAAAAGTAATGTTACAAAGTAAATTTATGCATTTAGGACGGTGAATTTTGCATTAATTGAATGAATAAATGAAGAAGATTTTAAATAAATGTGATTTATTCCGTTAAGCGAGAATTCTCCAACCTGTGGCTTGTCAAATTCATCAAATTTTCTAACATAATTTGCCATTTATATTTGTTAAAGAGATAAATTAAATTTGCTTATTAAAATAATCATTTGTAAACGCGATGAAAAAAATATTGGAAAATGCAGATAGAAGTATTTATTCCTAATATTTGCGTAAGCGATTTTATTTATTTATTTGCAGAAAAATACTTATTTGGAGATACCAAATGTATTTTGTTTGAAACATTACTTAATTTGAATCATCAGCTAAACGTTGGAATAATTTATTCTCAGTCTACATTAAACATATAACTAAGCAGTAATTTCTGAATTTAGTGATTCGAAGAATCAGAGTGGTTGCTTTAAAATTCCACATCAGGAAACGTGGACCTTATTTTTGCGATAGAGGTCAATGCGGGTGACCTCGTTTGATAATGGATAACAGTCACCAATCGAACAGAAACTATACACCTTTTAAATGTAGCTTAACTCTCTATCCGCTAGAGCAAAATATTATTTGCCAATAAATTAATTAACTATTTATTTACTGCATCCTCATAACCTAATTTCATTTAAAGCTTTCCTTTTCCCTTGAATAATCTGAAGTTGCGATTATAAACGCGCATGCCTGGTATGCGCTGCAATTTTGATTACTTTGATCCTGAATTTTAAACAGCTGTAGAAAAAATCCTTAAGGCAGTATCTGAACGAATGCTTACCGACATAGCTCCAAGGTATGACATAGGATATTTTTTAGTTAGATCAGATCATTGTGTTTCAGAGTGAATTTCTGAGATTAAAAGTTACCAGAGATTTTGAATTTAACGATGAGAGTCTTTATTCATTAATTATGTTCAAGGCTGAAATAACTTCCACAAGCGTAAAATTTTGTCTGCTTTAAAAGAAACTTTTTTCTTGCTTAAAGGACAGCATAATAATGCACATTTTGTTGCATAACTTACTATGTACCAAAATATTATCATAAATTCATATCGAATATGTCATATATTTAGGATGATTTTTTGTCGAAATGCATAATACAACGTCAGTAACATAAAGGCCTGAAGTAAAAAACACAGTTAGCAAAATTTCCATAAAAATTACTATTCCTTTCCGTCAAAAGAAGTGGTAATGATCGCCTACATTTCTGATCCATATTCATTTAAAGAAAGGTTATAATATCTGCGACTTGCAAGCCGAAATTTATTATAAAATATGTTTTTTACAAGAAATATAAGCCCTAAAAATGAGACTAAATTTATTTAAAAATATTCGATAAAACCTCTATATTTGGTATTCGTTTGCCTTCAGAATATTTCAGTTAATATTAAGAAACAGACGAAAAAAATTTGTTCAGAAAATCTCCCTTGTATTTTTATTACCCCCTCTCTGAAACTCATGAACACTTTTGCAGCAAAATAACATCGAAACGGGTAGAAATCTAAAAGATAAAGGTTAAAATTATTGTAATTTGGTCATAAATACAAAATTTAAATAAAACTTACGGTTTGAAAAAATGGCAACACTTTATTTTCTTAAATATTGGTTCTAGGCATGTTCTTTCGACTGCAAAGCTTCTCAGAATAAAGTGGAAATTTTATGAAACTGATTTCTACATTAAAGGTAGAATGTGGTTTTTAAAATACAAAATATATCTTAAAATGTTAAATTTTGTATTTATAAAACCGACCTATGGAGTCAAAGGTTCAATTAATAAAGCGGTTGTTATGCTTAATAACAGTCACTTGTCCATAACATGAATAATGCAAGAAGTTCCACACAATTTCAAAATTTACGATTGTAATTAATATTTTCCTGTGTGCTGCTATGAGTGTTCTATTAAGCACAGTACCATAACTCACCAAAACGAGTAATTATTATTATAGATTTTTAACTAAAGCGAGAGAGATTCAGATTTGCTAGGCCTTATGTGTTGAAATAATTTCAATCAGTAAATTCGTTCTCCTATGTCTCGGCGAATTTTACTCGTAATTTTTATTATTTATTTATTTAACTTATCAAACCATAATAAAAATTTTATTAATCAGACTTTTAATTCAACAGGAATCACATAAAAAACTTACATTCTGTAATCACAAAGCTATTCTACCTCGAATTAAGATTATTATTATTATTTTTTTTTTAATTTATAGAAATTTTGTAATGGGAAGTACATGTATGAGATCAATATTTAAGTAAATAAAGCTTACAACCATCTTTTTCAAATATAGTGTCTGCGAAATAATGTAAAATATGTTGCATTTTGTGCGATCTTTTGAGTTTATATATAAATGGCGAAATATGGAATTACTTTTTCCTGTATGTAACGACTATTAAACAATGAACATGAAATTATCATGAAATTGCATTTCATTGATTTCTAATTATTGGTGAGTTTGTGAAACAGACCTATAGCGTATCAGTTTGAATTCGTTTCATAAATATCAGTCTTGTGAAACTGAAATGGTAGCCATCAGTATGAATCACTAATTTATTTTGTACCCATTTTTAATATAAACGCGCTTTTTTGGCATTGGCCTCTACAGTGACCAGCATGAGTCATCATCCCATTGCCTGCGACCATTATAGTGGTAAGAAACGTACATGAATATATCGATTCGTTTGCTGCTGATTTATTGTATCAGATGCTTCTCTTTGTATAACATTAGCTACTGGCAGTGAAATGACACCTGCTTATGAATCCCACTCAGCAAACATGCTAAGCAGTCCTTGTTTCTAAATACATAAGTGACATGAATGAAATTAAATTCTTTCAGGTCCATGACGCAAATAGAGTTATGTAATACTCCTGCCACTTTTTATTTTTTTATTTTTTTTTTTTAAGTTTATCAGCTGTGAATACAAAATAATCTTTCGTATTTAAAAAATTTTTTAGAATGTTCAATAAATAGGCGAATGAAATTGTATTAAATTTATTCAATTGTTACTGGATGAAATATAAAAGCTCTCTTGTTTCTTTTATCTCTCTCTCTCTCTCTAGATTAATTTATGCATTGTTAGTAAGTCAGCAGGAACTACAGTATATTTACATTGTAAATGCGGCGAAAGGAAAATGACGATTATAATTGTCTTCTTGGAGACAATATTGTTTAGAAATACTAATTAGATTTGACTGGAATCCTAAATGGAATATGACGGTCAGAGGTCTTTGTTCTGATTTGGCGTGAGGAAAATAATAAGAGAGCGCAGCTAGGTAGCGGACGCGACACATGTTCGAGAAACAAAAAAACAATGAACGAGTTATCAGTGAAAACGAAGAGAAGGAAGTAGGACCAAAGAT